TATTAGCGACCTCCAAAAACGGAACAATCGTGGGAATACCAGAACAAGTGGCCACTAGACGCTGCCTGGGCCCTGTGCAGTCACGATTCTCCCCTCCGCGCTACTTACCTTGTACTTGAGATCATTCGACAGTGGATAGAGAACGACTGCTATCGATGGAGTCCACTTGATTGTCTTGCACGTTTTGTTACAGAGAGTACGGATGCATTCTACTCGAGCGCTCTGCCACTTCTCCCGAGGTGCTGGAGTTGGGGCAGTGATTAATAAAACAACGACTCAATGCAATCGACAAGAGAGATCAAACTCGTTCCGCGGGTCTGATTAGCCATTCATTCTGTATGCAATTTTAGCAGTCGCTGCATGTGACGGGGTGGTTGTTATGTTTCTGCAGTCAGAATTCGGGGATTCGACTTGAGATGAGGCTATCTGCATTGAAGCGCGGCTGTCCGGCAAACAATGGAGTGAGACTGTACGTAATTGGCAAGCGTGTCTTCATCATGCATCGATACAAAAAAAAATAAACCTGTTGTAACAGGAGTTTTTTTTAAACTGTCATTTTTAATCATCGGTGCGGTTAATCGCATTCATTTTATTTAAATTACTTCGCGGCAACAGATTTCTCTCATGAAGTGCCAGTCGCTTTGCTTTGATAGTGTTGCGCTAAATATTTAGCCACACTTCCATTGCGCCCCTTCGGCGCTGCGGTCAGAGCGCTGAAGCTCATCATATCGTGGTCAATAAAATAAAGACTAGTTTGTGGAGGGTGGCCACTGGTGGCGAGATGTTAACTACCTCGCCTGGCATGCAGGAGATCGTGGGTTCGATCCCGACCGGGACGACCGTGTATTTGGAGTTTGCGTGTCTTTCTCTCTCTCTCTGTGGTCGCGTGGATTTTTTTCCGGGTTCTCCGGTTTTTCACTCCACATTTAGAATCAACAACACGCGTTTTGAGTATTTGTCTGCTATACATTTCCACACGATACGACGCTTCTTTGAGCTATAATTTGTGGCCAAGTCGCTTCTGAAATAACTATATAGCTCAGTGTGCCTAACCTGGTAACAATTTTTTAAAAATATGGTAAGGTCCTCACCATGCGAAAGTGAAATTGACACCGCTGGTTAAAGATTAAAAGCGGAGATGCGCGCTGCACCATTTCGCATTTGAGCACGGAGACACTTTTGATTGGGTTGACTTGATACACTGACGCTTTCAGTCCTTTGTTCAACATGTTTAAGCGCTAATGAGACAGTGGACGATTGCCCCTTGATGGAATTGACGGAGCACGTGCACTCATAAACACGACAATGTGCGTGTGTGCGCGTGCACGCGTGTGTAGATTGAGATAATATTTTTTTTTAAACAAGGAGAGCTGAAAGGGAAGGCTCGCTGTTGGGCCTGAGTCCCATTATATTATCAGCTTGTAAGGATCTGCCCCGTCTCTCTGGGAAAATTGGGAATTCCGGGGATTTGACATCTATGCGGAGCTTACCACACACACACACACACCATTTGCTTCCCATTACACACAGTGACAGAGAAAGAAAAATCCGTGATTTTTTTGTTGTTGTTCCGCTCTTTCCCCGAGGAACACATAAGCACTTACTCCAGACACCAGCTAGCTCAAAAAGCAGCGAGCTCAGGGAAGAATGTTTTAATTTCAGGATTTTTGTTATTTTAATATATATACATTGTTACATTTTCTTCGAGCGAAACTGGCCGTGAGTTTGAAACACTACACAGGAACACTTGAAACTGCGAGTGCTATTCCCCCCGTGATGGCTTTGGCCCTAGAAATGCGCAGGCAAAATGCCACTGACATTCTGGAGGGACACTGCGTTGTGATTCAAATAAAGGCGACAACGTACGGCAATGAGTATAAAAGCCATCGACTCCTCTTGCGGACACACCAAGAGTAGGGTTGTGACCTCTGAGTTACAACCCAATTGGACATATCACAGGGCGAAGATTATTTCACAATACAAGCAAGTGGAGGAGGGAGAATTACGTATGAATCCATTCTCTTCCCCCTGTTCCTCCTCTTCCACCTCTTCTTCTTTCCTATGGCTGATGTAGATGCAGAGCAACGACTATATTCAGGTTGTCGGGCCCAAATAACAGCGTCAAGAGAACTAGAGTGTATCGCTTGCGATGTCTACTTCGTTTTTGTGCTTCGAACATTGCGTCGTTATACGTTGTACGGTCTGTTCTGGATGATCACAGTAGCGCATTGGAGAGCTTTTAATTTTCCCTTAGCGCGTCAGGTATCCGCATCTGCCATAGTTCGTGCGGATGCGGTTGGGCCATGATAATGCATTGTCTTGAGTGGTCGTGGTGTATTATTACACAACTGTTGAGAACCGGGGCTTTTACTGTCGTGCGAAGAGGACTTGCATTCTTCACAGGACAGCTACCTGAAAACTGCAAAAGATGATCCTGGATGAATCAGGACAGGTGACAACCCAAAGAGAGATTGACAATAACGCCGTGCTTTCGCCTGGACCCACCGCAGCACAGCTTCTCGGTTTCGTAGCAACAGTCCATGCTGAATCCAGGCGCTGAAGTGATGCCTCAATTGGCCGAGGCAGCACCATGAGCAAACTCACAATCGAACGGTTGCAAATTCAAATTCCAATCAGCGGTAAACAGCCCTGAAGAAGAAAAAAAACAGTACCACTGTGTGAATACAGCAATGACTTCCTATGGATAGACTGGCTTATGCAGAGGGGCGGAGCCAGGATTTTGACTTTGGGGGGACTGACTTCAATATTCTGAGATATCCAGTGTATGTTTTCCAATGGGCGTCACAAATGTATAAAACAAACTTTATTGGATTTGAACGCGGAGTTCATTGATAGGTCCGAGCCGCTGATGTGGCTAATATGTTCGATAAGTTCGAAAGGCTGCCGCTCAAGCAGCCTGCAGGGCAGCACAAGGTGGCAGCCTGCAGGGCAGCACACAAGGTGGCAGCCTGCAGGGCAGCACAAGGTGGCAGCCTGCAGGGCAGCACAAGGTGGCAGCCTGCAGGGCAGCACAAGGTGGTAGCCTGCAGGGCAGCACAAGGTGGCAGCCTGCAGGGCAGCACAAGGTGGCAGCACAAGGTGGCAGCCTGCAGGGCAGCACAAGGTGGCAGCCTGCAGAGCAGCACACAAGGTGGCAGCCTGCAGGGCAGCACACAAGGTGGCAGCCTGCAGGGCAGCACAAGGTGGCAGCCTGCAGCATTTTGCAGCAGCCGGATATCCGGTTGTCCGATTACCGATTTTCCCAAAATTTCAGGGGGGGCTGAGCCACCCCCAGCCCCCCCCCCCCCCCCGTGGCTCCGCCCCTGCTTATGCAATGGGAATATGGAATTTCCCCTGGGAGCAAAGGGTTGCCAATTGGAGATGAGTGCCAGTGCCTTGGGCCCATTTGCGCTGGGAGACCCACGACTATTCATGGGGCCACAAAGCGCCGGGGTGGCGAGATGTTAACTGCGTCGCCTGGTATAGAAGAGGTCGTGGGTTCGATCTCCATCGTGATTTCCTGCTGTATATTTGGAGTTTGCGTGTTCTCTCTCTCCCCGTGGTCGTGTGGATTTTTCTCCGGGTCCTCCGGTTTTTCCCTCCACATTTAGTATCAACTTGCGTTTCGAGTATTTGGCTGCCGTACATTTCCACGTGGTAAGCTACTTTGTTGAGCTATAATGTGGCCAGATCGCTTCTGAAAAAGAGCTATTAACTCAGTGGGGCCTTACCTGGTAAGATAAAAAGTTTAGTTTTGATTGATGGTAGCACCCACACACATGGGGCCCAGACCCGATCGTGCCTTAGAGACCCCGGATGACCTTAACTTATGTAACTCCTGATTTAAAGCTTTCGTGACTGCAGGGATTTATATTCTTGGTTCTTTCGGTAAAGTCACGTAGAAGGGAAACAATAAAATAATAAAACTATAAAACAATAAAATTCTCACGACGTTTCGACTGCAACACAAGCAATCATCATCAAATTCTCTTGCTGTGGTTTTCACACCTGATGATGATTGCTTGTGTTGCAGTCGAAACGTCGTGATAATTGTAGTTTTATATTTGTATTATTTAATTGTTTCCCTTCTACGTGACTTTACCGAGAGAACCAAGAATATTATGTAACTCCTGTAAAATATTATCTTCACTAATTTAAAATAGTCATATCAATAATGGCACATGCCAAAAACATTTGAATTACAAATTAATAAAAATCCCAGTCATAAGTGTATCACCTTATGTGAAATCACCAGTTGTTGTCCTGAGGGTTAACTGGTCCCCTGCCATAGGAATGTGGAATGTAAACCCCTGGCGCAGATCCCTAAGGTAGAAAGGCATTGTCCTCTGCTCTTTTAAGCAGGATGACATTTTGGCAACGTGTGTTCTTGCGTCGGGAGCGGTCGTGTAGCTGTTAGCGAGCTGCGCTACGAACCCGGCGACGCGAGTTCGATTCCTCCTCACGGCCAACACCAGTGACAAGTATCTGACTCGGGCCTGGGCATCCCCTAGGTTGACTCAGCCTCAAATGAGTACCTGGTGCGTTGTGTAAACATCGCCACGAGGGAGACAAACGGTGGTCGGGCGTGGTTCTGGCCATCCACTCCCTCGTGCGTGTCGTGCCAGCCTTCCATAGGTGCTCGCTAATGGCAACTGCCCCAAGTCTGTTAAGGCTACACGGGGGATCTTTGTCTCTGAGAAATAGCCACCCTTGTAAATCTTTATTTGTAACCTGGTGACGGTTTCGTTGAGAAGACGCTTTACTCAAGTGACACTGTTCAATGTTTCAAACAGGTATAATACTAGACTGTGCATATACACACACATTGGACAAAATAGCTCATTTGTATCGTTAGATGTAATATACACTAACTTCTGATTAAGTTGTAACGTAATCATCCCTTGTAATCAAGGGCAGAATAACACTTTAACGTAAATGTACTGGATTAAACACAAATCTACTCCTCAGTGAACACAAACGCACACTCAGCCACACAGATATACAATTATACTACATTTATTTGACTAACACAAATGACAAACTGGCAGGAAACATAATGTTGTCTGAAACTAAAACGCGTGTGGGGGGGGGGGGGGGAAGAGAACAATTAAGCGTGGAAAAAGGTGTTTTTTTTTGTTTAAAAAGAAAATATGTAAAAAAATAAATAACAACCAACTCAAATGCATCCACATTTGTCAAAACTGACCAATAGCCAATCGAGGGTTCATACCCTTCGTGAAGTGTCCAGCAGGACAATGACTTTGAAGGGTAATTTAACACTTTAGGCTGGCACAGATCCCTAAGTGACTTTGAAGGGTAATTTAACGTGATGCAGTGCTCAAACCAAATTGCTCAAAACCAGCTCACAATAGCTCGGCTGTATTAAATTATCCTCTTAAATATATATCACACCAATTTTTTTAAACGCATGTACCCTCCCCCCACAGGGCTTGTTTGACCTTAAGAGTAATAATTAAAAGAAAGGGGGAGGGGAGGGGGAAACAATTTTACACAATTATAAACGATACTAAAAGGATTATAAAAAAAATACAAAATGAATTTGAGTCTGATCCAGGATTTAGTTGTTTTTGTCTGAGGTATATGTTATGCTATCTTCAAGAGGTAGTCGCAAGGTTATTCGTTCTTTAAAAGGATTTGGAGAGGGGAAAAAATGTTGAGATTGGGCAGGAGGGCATCGATGGCAGGTTTTTACGATAACTCGAAAAAATAAGATCTGCGTTACTTTCCGTGGCATTTATTAAAATTGTACAATGCACACAACAAGTACACACCCTAACCATCCCTGATTTGTTTTGATACTTGCTTTGTAAATTAAAAGTGAGACCCCAAAATCTAAAATAGTTAACCAGCAACAACCTCGCTGAGATGTTTTTAATCTCTTTCTTTTTTTCATTAAAAGGTATCAGAGGTAGAAGCATCACACATTACCACACATTAAACTGCAACATCTATATCTAAGCAATTACATTAAATTAAAAAAGCTGATTTTTCTTTCTTTCTTTAAAAAAAAAGCTCAATTTGTGAGAAAAAATTACAACTCAAATACAAATGCATTGTTCCACGTTACATTTTTCTTCACATGCCACACAACAAGTTTGCGATAAAAGGTGTGGGTTAGACACATGACACTAAAAAAATATATAACTAATGTGGTTCTGCGTTATAAACAATGAGCTCAGTACGAAAACACAGGTATTATTATCATCATCGTTAATTTGTGTACACTCCTTGACTTAACACGGAACAGGGCGCGAACATCTCAAATATTGATACTGCATCTCTGCCCCCTGTGATCAGGCCAGCGAAGATCAGCGGTGATGCGGGAACGACAGATTGCCCAAGCAACTTGGGTGGTTGGGGGTGATAACAATACAGTAACATGATTGTAAGTGAATACTGCATTTAAACCCAAGCAACCGTATGAAGCGCACATCTTGTCCAATTAAGTGTAAGAGCATTGTTTACGCTGTTGTGTAACAAAAGTCGTTTGTTTTTATTCGTGACACTTGTTTTTGTCAATTAGACATCGGGTGTAAACAGGCCTCTAGATAGTTTAACACATAGTAGGCTTTTGTGACAATTATTATCCGTAGTTTTTTTTTTGGGGGGGGGGGTTGGGGGGGGTTAGATCGCGTAAATATATAAATGTGTCGTTAAAGCCGCCACCACCCGACACAGCCAATTACTAAGGTTTTTAACACTTGTAAATGTTGCTGTACTAGTAACGAAGCGACACGTTCTGTTTACATCACAAACCTTACTAATTAGCTGTGTCGGGTGGTGGCGTGTTTAACGACACATTCATATTTAGGCGATCTAACCTAAAAAAAAACACGCAAAAAACCCTCTCTTAAGGCCTATAGATGTCACTGTAGAACCATTTGCGCGTTTTGACAACTCGACAAACAAACAAAAACTGATGTCGTCAGTTGGCAGCTGAAACAGCGCAGACGGCACGGGGGGGGGGGTGGGGGGGGGATGTACAGCCGCAGTCTTAAGACGGCAAATTAAACCCGCACACGCCGTGCGCGATCGGGACAAGGGTCAGGAACACCTGGCTCGCCATGCGTTAAAAGGTGAAGGGTACGTTTCAAGCAATAAGTCCTCGTGTTTTACACAAATACAAACACGCGCACCCCATTCGCCGAGCATTCGAAAGTCGACCTGAAGACACGAACTCGCCCATCAAAAAAATAAAAATAAAAAAAGACCCGGCCCCACGCAATTGTAAATCTGCACAAAAGCAGCGTTTTCTTGCTGGCGCCCAACAACGCGATGTCCCCTTGTGTCGCCACATCTCTCCGCTGCGGGATCTCCGTTCACACGTCGTGGAAACGTAATGCAGGAGGATGCATCGATTTGTCGTGAACATTTGACGGCCACAAAACACGCGAGACGTGTCCACGGTTTCGCAACTGGATTTAACGTCTAATAACCACACTGCAACTTCCCCAACATTAGATTTTTTTTTAACGTCATGTAACCAATGTTGTTCTTCTGTAACAACAAAAAAGAAGTTTTACTTTATTTTTTATAACTTTTTTTTTTTACAACTATCAAATTCACTTCTCAGATACCAAAAAACATACCCAGAGAGGAGGTAAGGATGAAAATTAAAAGTATTTAAAAGTCTTTCCAAAAAGGTTATTTCTTATTACAGTAGAAAATAGTAAAAATGTCGATACAAAATACTCGAGCTAAAACGAAAGTTCTCTCTGTAAAGCTAACGGCGATATCGTTGACACGAATATCATCTAAATTGGGGGGGGGGGAGGGGAAATCAAACGCTTGTTCTGACATGAAGCCTAACGGTGAGAGAAAAGAGAAAAGTAACGGGAGAGCAGACATGCGAAACAGGTTGCTTTGGCGTTGTTCTCAATCACGTGGAGGCTACGCACCTGGCCGACTCGCGGAGACACCAGAGGGGCCACATCGCCTCGCACTTAGCGAGCTCCGTTCACGGGTCGACGCGTGGCGAGGCCGATTTTTTTTTGTTCCCACCTCCCCACCCACGACCCACGCGAGTTTCTAACCGTCGGGACTCGGGCGAGTTTACCCGCGGCGTAGTCACGAGAGGGGTGGGGGGGGAGGTGGACAAAAAAATCCACCCGTCGTTCGTTTCTCACAGAACGCCTCCAACACCCCCCCCCCCCCCCGCGGCCGCAGGGGCCCATCATCATTTGGACGACAAAACGCTTTCGGGCAAGTGCAGCAAAATTTAAGGTGGTTTCGGTTTGGCCGAGAATCGAACCGTGGTGTTACACTTTGGGAGGTAGGTTCTCTTGGAAGTTGTGTTCTTTGCGCCACGCGCGCGCGCGAACTCTGCCATGCCCGCGAGCGTGGAGATTGATTCACCACGCGGCCCGACTTGGACGCGCACGTGACGTGGGATCCGCCAACGATGGTTGCTCGTTGACGGGATGTAAAAAAATTAACATTCAGATGTTTGCACGCGTGGCAGATTTATCTACTGCCCAAGTTGCTCAGCCTTAGAATGACGGCACCCGCAATCGTCGTCTGTGGTTAAAACATGTTCTCCACGGCACCTCGCTCCCGCCTACAGATAATCCAAAAATGCTCTTCAGGCACTCCGTGTACGGGGGGGGGGGGGTTCTTTGGCAACCGATCCGAGTTACAGGACCAACCGAGCCAAAGCGTCACATTTACGCAACATTGACAGGAATGCTCAATCCTGACTGTTCAGATTTCATCGAAGATGCGGAGACGGACGATGGCCGTTTTATTATTGCTGCTCAGTGTGGACCCAAAGGTTGTGGCCTCAGGGCCGGTTCAATGTCACGGAGGCCAATCGTGCGGCCCACACCGTTTTGCCACCAGAGCTGGCGGCCTCCTCCTCTCCGGGCTCAGTCCTCTCCGCTTCCTCAGGTCGAGGAGAGCAGCGCCCAACGGAGTCTGCAGGGCACGCCCGGTGCTAACCAGGGCAGAGCAAACAGCAACAGCTCCTTTTAGCGCTTGCCCCACGTGCGTAAAGTTTGCCAGCACGAACACGACCGGGAAGGCTGCCCCCCCCCCCACACTCCCTTGCGAGCACGTGGGTTCGTGCCACCGTTATTCTACATCAACAAACAATGGCTTTGAGTAACCGACGTCGCACCGCGTCACCAAACGCTGGGCCCTGTCGCTCTCTGGCTGTGTTGTTGTTGTCGAGACATCATGCGCAAGAGAGACATCGGAGTGATAGCTACAGCGCAACCGTGACAACCTGCGCAAGTACCGTGCCCAGGTCTAACGAAATAAAACAATTGTTTTTAACATTCTGTAACACGAGAGAGCTCCATTTCACCTGCACGTATCTTCTCTAGAGCTCGGATAGCTGCCCAAGACCCTTTCGGAGTGCCTTGCAAAGATTCTGCATTCTCTGCAGTGCATAAGCAAGTGCTGGGTAGAATACGCTCACAGATACGTGGGTGCCGAGCATTAATGCAGGGATTTTTTTTCCGGCAGTAGCTGCCTTTACGGCCTGGTAGAAAGTCAAATGGGTACAATAAAGCATCAAAACATGCCAATAAATTTTAATACTATACTTGGATACATCCTAACATGACTTAATATGGAACATAATTCCCTTAAGTTATGTGCATATACATTGAAATGCAAATGCATGTTGAAATGTTATACTTGTAGTGGGCATTGCAGCTTAACATCATGCACAACACCTGACAAAGTATTGATTTTTGAAAGCATTAAGAATGTATTGATGCTGCCAAGACAGTGTGGCTGTTTAATTGTAAGCACTGTCAAACAAAGCCACGTATTAGAAAACAACAGGTTAGTCGAACACGATAACAGCTTGTTTTTACTGCCATTGAGATTGTAAAATGTTGATATTTTAGCCGACTGGCGTTCAAGTTACACGGAGGCTTTCATTGTGCAAAGTGCGTAGAGGGAGGTGGAATTTTGAATGGATTTGCAGAGTCTATAGCCAGCCAGGTGGTTCGGGGTAGAGAGAGCCGCTTACAAATCAGCAATGTGAAGAGTTAAAATCCTGGCGGAGATTTACTCAGCCCATAATCACTCCGGAGTCAAAAAAAAGAGTTGTGCTGTCCTCTGTCGGGAAGTCAACAGTGGATGTCCTATGGATTAATTCGCCCTCACCATAGGAATGTGGAACTTCCACCACTGGCTCAGGGTTGTAAACATGGGATGACCACTGCCTCCGATGCTCGTTTGAGCAAGAAATCACTTTTGACTTTAAAAGTCTACAGATTCAACTTAATCTGCACGGGCATGTCTGCAACGGCACCAACTGTACAGGGAAGTCAGGAGGCTTTTGGTTCTTGGGTGCCACAGTTGTGAGATGTTAACTACCTCGCCTGGTATGTAGGAGGTGGTGGGTTCGATCCCCTAAGCCTGCTGTATATTTGGAGTTTGCATGTCTCTCTCCCTGCGGTCGTGTTAATTTTTCTCCGGGTGCTCCCGTTTTTCTCTCCACATTTTGAAACACGCATTTAGAGTATTTGGCTGCTATAAATTCCCACGTGATAAGCCACTTCGTTGAGCTATCATTTGTGGCCAGGTCGCTTTTGAAAGAGAGCTATATATTGCTAAGTGGGCCTTACATGGTAAAATAAAAAGTTTAGTTTTCGCAATATGAGGCTTGCCTCCGCTCGTTTGCGAGAGAATGAATCGGTGAATTTGGACCAGAGAGAGAGAGAGAGAGACGTATAGCCATGTGTGAGAAGGCTGCGGATATAAAATGTCAATAATAATTAACATTTATAATGCGTATTCCATCCTAGGATCCCAAGGGGACAACAGGACAGTGCCTGCACGAGATGTCATCGTGCATCACACCTTGGTTCTGGTGCCACGTGGAACTCCGGTCTGAAGTGAGGTTGTCTAACGGTGGACCGAGCACTGGGACACAAAATCCAGGACTTTCGATTGTGCGGCCATCAGAAGGAATAAGAATGGTGGTGGGTTTGGGAACGTATTCCACTCGGTGGCAGTAATAAAAAAAAACCCCACTGTAATTGTTGAACTAACCTCTTGTTTTTTATGCATAAGTTCACCAAAAGCAGCAACTTTATACCCTACATACACAAAAAAAACCGAGCTGTAAACAGTGCTTTCCTTACGAGAACAAAAAACAGTGACTGAAGTAGTGGCGTACAGAACATTTGTTTTGAAACAGCCGAACTGACGATACGTAATGATCCTGGGTTGGGTTGTTTTTGTTTTGTAGCAGCAACTGGTAAATGTGGAGCGCGAACAAAATAAAACCTTAACAGGAAAAAAAAAAACAACAGAGGTAGTTGTGGATAACGGTGTATACATCACTAATTGCATCGGCTGCTATAAAATTGCTTAATTGTGAACAAAATAAGATAAAAACACGAGATTTTGAGTCCTAGTCAAGAAGTTGGACGTGATATTCAGCACGAGTGCCGTCTGACAAGAAGCTAACGATTCGTTGTCTCTCGCATGATTTGCCAGCTCAGGTCTTACAAGTCTTTTGTACATCGTCATCAGAGCTGCATATATTTTTTTTGTTATTAAAAAAATGTGTTTAAATCGATAGACACAAGCGGCATTGAATATATGAGCTTGAGCCTACTTTCAATTGTTCGGATTGAGCAGGCTATGTTAATAAGAAGCAGAGAGAAAATGGATCTAAAAAAATGCGTGAGTTTGTTCTTCCAGATGAACTACCTGCTTTATTGCATGGGTGTTGGTATTGCATAAGTGACACAGAGAACAGTAGTAAAAATTAATAGGTGATTAGGCTGTCGACTGATTTAAAAAAAAAAGAATTAAACTGAAAAAAACAGCGTGAACGCAATGGGGGGGGGGGGGGTGGTGGGGGGGGAAGTGAAAACGATGAAAAAAATAACAGTTTGACAAACTAAAACTGCATGTGAAATATTCAGAATGCATTAACAACAACCACAGAGGTCATGGAGGAAAAATGGAGGTCAACGTTTTAAAGCTTAAATAATGTCACCGCTCGCTTGGCTGTTTCCACGCAGTGATGAACACTTAACCCATGACATGAACGGAGAGAGACCCCAAACGCGATGCGTGCCAGCAACACGTCGCACGAATGCACTTCTCGCTGTCGCTGCGAATACGGACACCGGGTGTTTGCTTCCGTGAAAGTTCCAAAAAAGCTGCCCCCCTACCCACCCACACACCCATCTTGCTCCGAAACTTCCATTCAACTTGAGTGCAGCATTAAGTAAAGTCTGACGGTGGTGAGAATTCATCCGGATACGCGCCCGCCCGCCCGCCCGCCTGCCTTATCACCAGCGCGCCGTGTGGCGCCCATACGGTGGGGGGGGGGGGAGGTCGGAAATCCTCACCTCGGAGATATCACGCACGTACCAAGACACTGCCTCAAAAAGTAGCCGATGCTAATGTCGCCGCTCCTTTTGGTTATGTTTGTGCTGAATTGAGTTTATTACTGAGGTATGATGCTTTCCCTTTAATATCCAGGATCCATGCTTTAAAAAAAAAACACACGCTTTATATCTTAATGTCTACAGACACTTTCCTTGGAAAGAGCTCGTTAATGTGTCAGTGTTTGCGATTATGGCACTGACGCAATGCTGTTGCATAATTCTCGATTAACATCTCAGCAAGTTTTCTAACCGCGAAGCTAACCATAGCGCCCTGCGGCATTGTAACTTTCAATCTGGAAGGATGTGCCAAAACAAATTTAGCAAAAAAACATTTTTTTTTAAAAGATAACCCAGAAGAAAACAGTTTACAAAAATTACTTCCCCGCTCCCCATTGTGAGCTCCGACATTAATACCCTCCCCTCCCCTCCTTCTCACCCCCCAAACGGGAATTTGCAACACATAACCAATCCAAAATAGAAAAAAATTTCATTCACTCCACAACCCCCCCCCCCAATTCTACTAATATTGGGCTGACTTGCCATTCTGTATTGACAGTTGACCCAAAGTGACTGAGGTAGACATTGTGTTAATTAGTCATCTTCTTCTGAAGATTCCTCTTGACTTGTCTGTTCTTCCGCCTGTTCCTGGAAGAGAGCACATGAAGTAGGAACACAGTTAGTTTTTTTTTTGTGTTGCGTTACTTACGATGCATGGTCCGAGTGTCTCTTCTCAAGCGGGCAATGGTGGCGGTGCTCGTGGGTAAGAAACTTCATATTTCCATGGCAGAGACCTAGTCTATCCAGCCGATGATTGCTGTTGATGTTCCACAAAGTGTGCACTAATGCTCTATAAAGCAGTCATACATCTATTTGCTACACTGTCCCGATATTACCTCATTGCCATATAACTAGCTTGATGTCTCACACACATTACAGCCATTGCTATAATGCCCTCCCCCCCCCCATTACAGAAATGTGGAATGTTCACCATTGATCAAGAATAGTGATGGAATGGCGGCCATTCGAGAGAAATCAGCTCATGGCCTGGTGCTCGACAGATTGTTACATCGCAGACGCAGCATAGATCACCACGACATGGGGAGGCCATCATGCAGCAGTTGACTGATCATGGCTGATGATGATGGCTACAGAAATGGTTACGAAAGGTGAGTGCTGTCCAGCACTCATTCGATGGGGGTGAAACCTTTATTCTGCTCAAGGTCTGACCCTGTTTCTAAACACACAAAACCTGACCCAGAAGGGAAGACTCATCATCTGCGACTGAAGAAAGGTAACGTTTGTGCTGTCGATCAGAAATCGTCACTAAATCCATTAATATCAAGAGTTCGCCAGGCAGCCCAAGTGAAAGGAGAATGGCAGGAGCATCGAGTATGGTTTTCCAGACTCTTAAAAGAACCGCGTGTACAGTGAGGGGAAAAAAGTATTTGATCCCCTGCTGATTTTGTAAGTTTTCCCACTGACAAAGAAATGATCAGTCTATAATTTTAATGGTAGGTTTATTTGAACAGTGAGAGACAGATTAACAACAACAAAAATCCAGAAAAACGCATGTCAAAAATGTTATAAATTGATTTGCATTATAATGAGGGAAATAAGTATTTGACCCCTCTGCAAAACATGACTTAGTACTTGGTGGCAAAACCCTTGTTGGCAATCACAGAGGTCAGACGTTTCTTGTAGTTGGCCACCAGGTTTGCACACATCTCAGGAGGGATTTTGGCCCACTCCTCTTTAAAGATCTTCTCCAAGTCATTAAGGTTTCGAGGCTGATGTTTGGCAACTCGAACCTTCAGCTCCCTCCACATATTTTCTATGGGATTAAGGTCCGGAGACTGGCTAGGCCACTCCAGGACCTTAATGTGCTTCTTCTTGAGCCACTCCTTTGTTGCCTTGGCCGTGTATTTTGGGTCATTGTCATGCTGGAATACCCATCCACGACCCATTTTCAATGCCCTGGCTGAGGGAAGGAGGTTCTCACCCATGATTTAATGGTACATGGCCCCGTCCATCGTCCCTTTGATGCGGTGAAGTTGTCCTGTCCCCTTAGCAGAAAAGCACCCCCAAAGCATTATGTTTCCACCTCCATGTTTGACGGTGGGGATGGTGTTCTTGGGGTCATAGGCAGCATTCCTCCTCCTCCAAACACGGCGAGTTGAGTTGATGCCAAAGAGCTCCATTTTGGTCTCATCTGACCACAACACTTTCACAAAGTTGTCCTCTGAATCATTTAGATGTTTATTGGCAAACTTCAGACGGGCATGTATATGTGCTTTCTTGAGCAGGGGACCTTGCGGGCGCTGCAGAATTTCAGCCCTTCATGGCGTAGTGTGTTACCAATTGTTTTATTGGTGACTATGGTCTCAGCTGCCTTGAGATCATTGACAAGATCCTCCCGTGTAGTTCTGGGCTGATTTCTCACCGTTCTCATGATCATTGCAACTCCACGAGGTGAGATCTTGCATGGAGCCCCAGGCCGAGGGAGATTGATAGTTCTTGTGTTTCTTCCATTTGCGAATAATCGCACCAACTGTTGTCACCTTCTCACCAAGCTGCTTGGCTATGGTCTTGTAGCCCATTCCAGCCTTGTGTAGGTCTACAATCTTGTCCCTGACATCCTTGGAGAGTTCTTTGGTCTTGGCCATGGTGGAGAGTTTGGAATCTGATTGATTGATTGCTTCTGTGGACAGGTGTCTTTTATACAGGTAACAAGCTGAGATTAGGAGCACACTCTTAAAGAGAGTGCTCCTAATCTCTGTGATTGCCAACAAGGGTTTTGCCACCAAGTACTAAGTCATGTTTTGCAGAGGGGTCAAATACTTATTTCCCTCATTATAATGCAAATCAATTTATAACAATTTTTGACATGCGTTTTTCTGGATTTTTTTGTTGTTATTCGGTCTCTCACTGTTCAAATAAACCTACCATTAAAATTATTGACTGATCATTTCTTTGTCAGTGGGCAAACGTACGAAATCAGCAGGGGATCAAATACTTTTTTCCCTCACTGTAGGTGGGTTTCGTACACACAAAGCACTCCTCCTCCTGCTGCTGCTGCTGCTACATTCACCCCCCACCCGCACGCCAGAGAGAGGAATGTGACATTTCAGCCTCGGTCTTGGGGCCGCCAACAGAGATTAGCTTCGTCTCATGCTCTTTTCCGCGCGGAGACACTTTCCTCTTGACACACAAAAGGGCTTCTCTGGCGAGATAAAAACCTATCTCGTTGGGATCGTTCATGACGATGAACACAATCCAACTGAAAAGACGCACCACTCATGCGCTCCAAATGAAGGCACCGCTTTGCTTTGTTAACATATGGCATGGTTATTTTTGGAAGCCCATCAAGACGGTTCTGCGTAGGTCTTTCGCGATCCTACGACACACAGCCGTGTTTCCTGGTTGTGCCGAAACGGAGGACACGGGGGTAGGGTGGGTGGGGACGAACAACTCACGGTGCAACCCATAAATGACACCCGCCCGAAAACCAGCGGCGACGTGAAACGCACACTGACGAGTGAAGGGAAGATTAAACAACAACAACAACAACAACAAAAATTCTCCCCCCTCAAAATCGCTCTCGCTCCACTAAACTGTGGAATCCGTTAGCAACAGCGGTCACCTGCCGTGAAACGCGTCGCCGGCAAGAAGCGGCCACGAGTGCCAGCGAGCGATGACCGAGCCGCCCACTCCCCCTTCTCGGTTAGAACAGGACCGCCGCTCGACTCCGCGACGTGCAAACTCGCAATCGGTGCGCGTAGCAGCACATCCGAGGTTTCAGTTCATGGCGGTCGGCTCACAACTTTTAATGTGCTTCAGGCATTTCTGGGTGCCTCTCTACAGATTTCTTTTTTTTTTTGAGCCCCTGCATTCCTGGGGGTTAAGGGCACTGCTTCCCATGGGCTCAATGTGGGGGGGGGGGGAAGGAGGGGTGGGGGGGTGGGGGGGAGGAGTGGGGGGAGGGAGTGCAGAGGGTGGGAGTGCAGAGTTTTGCGATTCTCCACAAAGACCTCACTCTGTGAACACTGCCCACCCTACCCTGCAATGGGATGTTTTCTTTGCCCGAACAGAGCGAAGGATTGGATGGGTGGGGGGGGGTTCGAAAAATAGAAAGGGTGGAGGGGTGGAGGTGGTGGGGGATGGGAGAGGGCCGGGGTGCTCTGTGGGACTGGTTGGTTTGGAGGAGAGAGTTGTGGGTGGGGGGGGTAATAGGAGAGGTTGACATCAACTTCTAAAAAGGCGGCAAATGCAGCAACATTTTCTGCCCCCTCCCCCTCCTTGTACCATCCTCCCCAGGCCTCCATCACATAGCACCGCACAGCACCCACACTCCACACGTACTCCAAACAGCACCCGGACGGCATCGACGCAGCATCCATCCACACAGCACCCACAGAGCACCCGTATAGAATCCACACAGCATCCACACAGCACCCACACAATCCACACAGCATCCACACAGCATCTGCACAGCACCCACACAATCCACACAGCATCCATCCGCACAGTACCCACAGAGCATTCACACACAACCCACAGCATCCGTATGGAATCCCAGCTCCCAGCCCCTTCCTCCCCAGCACCACACACCACCAGTTACCCCCCCTCCCCAGCACCACACACCACCAGTTACCCCCTCCCCCCCCCCAACCTCCCCCCTCACCACCACACACCACCAGTTACCACCACACACCACCAGTTACCACCACACACCACCAGTTACCACCACACACCACCAGTTACCACCACACACCACCAGTTACCACCACACACCACCAGTTACCCCCCACCCCACCCTCTCCCCCATATTGGCCCTTCTCAGAATAAAGACTCTGTTCAGAAACAATGTTTACGACTGTATTTTGAACTTTGGCATATGGAAATGTTTCAGCAGAACCTCTTAATATCCTGTCCTGGAAACGGCTCATATTTAGTGTTGATCACCACAGTTCTCTCTATGTAGTTTCACGAGGGTTGTTTTCATGTTTCTTTGTGGACCGCGTATGTTGTTGCTTTTGTTTAATCGGCGTAAAGAGATCCCCGTGCCTGCCCGTGTGCTCGCTATAAAACAAGAATGGCTGCGGCGTCGGCAACATTTTTGCTCATTGCAAGTCGACGACAGGGTTTTCGAGCAACAGTGCTTGTAACATGCGAGCCTCCCGCCAGTACCCAGGGAATTTCCTATCCCCTTGCACTCAACTTCCACTGCTCGCAAGCGGATGATCGCGAGGTAAAGTCCCAGTCGGGGGAGGGGGGGGCGTCGACGAGACCGAACATTTGTCCGGAATCGATAAAACGAGAAGCATTTGATGGGAAAGTCAACGGTGAATGTCCTATGGAGATACTGCCCCTGCCCCCCCTCCCCCCCCCCCAGCATTTGAACAATCGCTTTCAGGACTGCCCACGGCAATGTGTAGGATCATTCCTGATTCCAGTTTGAGTGTGGAAACACTTTGACTCTTTGATATGATGTCATCCTTGCACAGCGCAGTACAAATAATTTGGAATCACATCGCAGGCAGTTGGAAGTGTGCAGTCTGAAAAGTCAACAAAACTATAAACGCGGAACATTTTTCAGGAAAAAGGCCATGGGGTCGATTAAATCCTTTCATTAACGGGCGGTTGGG